AAAGATTTACAGCCTTGAAAACCCTATGGGGCAGTTCTACTCTGTCCTATACGGTGGCTAGCAGTCAGAATCCACTCAATGGTTGGTTTAGGGGGAGGGGCAGGTCAGAGGAGGCAAATTTTATTTTTTAAAAGGTAAAAATGCAGGCAAGATCTATGTGGTTTTAAGGAGGATTGGGCAGAAATGATAGGGAGCCAATCTGGACTCAAGATACTGAAACTCTTTCCAATCAAAAATGTCCAGAGGTGGAAGGAACTCCTGGGAGTTGTAGTGAGGTCCCTGTCACAGTAGGTATCCAAGCAGAATCTGGCTGGCCTTTCAATTAGTGGGGATTGTAGATCACACAGCTGATCTCTACCTCTATCACTTTTACTCCTACCTTCTCAGAGAATGGTCCTGACATGTACATATAGCTTACATTTGAAAAAAATGAGGCCATGGAAGAAGAATGACATGTTAGCCATCCATTCATCCGTCCGTCCGTCTGTCCGTCCGTCCCTCTATCCATCCATGTGTTCATTAACATATTTATTGAAATCCAGTGCATGCTAGAATCTGGGGATACACAGTGCTCAAAATAGGCATAGTCCTTGCACTTAATGTCACTTAGAGTCTGGCAGGGAGATAAACATTAAACGTGCAAACAAGTTAAAAAATATATAGTTGTAAGTTGTGAAGAGCACTCTGAAAGAAAAGTACAGAGTAAGAGTGCAAGTGTTAGGGATATACATTAATTGGAGGCCAGGAAAGGTCTTTCTGAGGAAGTGAGTTTTAAGTTGTAGTTTATATATCTGTTAAGGAGACACAAGTCGTGGTCAGAGCATTCCTGACAGAGAGGACAGGATGAGCAAAGGTCCTGAGGTTGGAAAGAACTTGATGTGTTTGAAGAATTGAAAAAGACCAGTGTGCTGGAGTATAGTGAACAAGAGGAGAGAAGCCTGGATGAGGCTGAGGGGAAAGGGAGGGACCAGGTCATGCAGGCTCGTCTGGTGGGGGCAAGGCCTGTGTGTAAGAGAGCAGCAGAGTGAACCCCATGGGCACATGGAGTGAGGCGGGGGGTGGGGGGGTGGGCGGAGAATTAGACAGGGCAAATAGTAGGTTAGGGGACTTGGGTAGAACTGGACACCAGTTTCTTGAAGAGGGGTTTATCAGCAGACTGCTAGTGGTAGGAGTGTTCAGAAATGTTTTATGTTTAGGTAGATGAGATCACTTTAAATAGGGTACGGCTGAGGTTCAGAGATTCCCACTGAGACCCTTGCTGCAGTGAGATACTGACTCCAAAGGCATTTACTCATCAGCACATACTTGCTGAGTGCCAGCTTTGTGCTGGGAGCTTCCTGTCATGGCAAAATCTGATTGTGAAATTAGTGGCTAGTTAAGACAAAGTGGGGAGTCCCTGGGTAGTGCAAATGGTTAACATGCTGGACTGCTAACTGAAAGGTTTGAGGTTCAAGTCTACCCAGAGGCTGCTTGGAAGAAAGGTCTGGTGATCTACTTCTGAAAAATCAGCCATTGAAAACCCTGTGGAGTACCGTTCTGCTTTGATGTACATCAGGTCACTATGAGTCGGGGGCCAGCTGACAGCAGCTGGTTTTTAGGCAAAGTGGTTCCTCACTCAGAGGTCTTCCCAGAGGGCAGTGCTGGAGCCTGCCCCCAGGAGGCTTGGCCGTGCCCTTCTTCCAGGATCATGATTAGATCAGCTGCTGCTGATCCACCACCATGAGAACTGCCTGAGAATGGTCCTGCCGCCACATACCCAGAATCTGATGTGCCGTGGTATGCACATGGAGTCTACTCCCTGCCCAGAGTGCCTTACACAGAATGTTCAAGCTCAGCTCCCTGGCCTGAGGCAGCCTCCGACTGGAACAGGAACCAAATCTGGACCATAGCCCACCTCCTGCACCCCCTCTGGCAGGGTTGTTTCCTGCCCTTTGCACACCCTTAGTAGCTGAATGGAGAACAGACTGCACAGGCCCCATATGGATGCCGCGCCTAACTGCATGGGTCCCTTGTTTTCCAACCTCCAAACTGGGCAGCACTACATTAGAACCTGGGTGACTAGCAGAGACACTTCAGAAAGGCACGTGTTAGTGCCACTCACTGGAGCAAAGGGTGGTGTCTAATATAAGATATGCTTGGCTTGGGGTCAAGTTAGAATGACCCTGAATGAATGCTTAGGGGCCATCTAAGTGGCAGGCTTTCTGCAGGATACACACAGCTGACCACAGAAATTGGCTTGAGTCTCCAGGGACAGGACATTGGTCCGTTGCTTCACCACCAGAGCTCTGGCCTCGAGCCTGCACATGTGATCACATTCCAGGGGTTGGATGCCAGATGGCAGCCCCATGGGGAAGGTGCCACAATGGCAGAGAGGTGGAGGAGTGTGGAGGGAAACTGATGGTCTGTGGAATCTACCACTGTGAGTTTATATAACCCCAGTTCCTGCAGGGTTCCGTACTGTATTTTCCTCTGGTTCAAAGGAATACTGTTTTTGGCAAACAGTCAAAGACAGAGATTTGATCCAGGTAGTCAGAAGGGGATAGGAAGGGTCAAATATTGATTCCTGGCCTTAAATGCTTGATAGAAACTCTTCATGTGTGATGCATGACTTTGGGCAGGCTTTGCCTGTAATCTCCAAGGCTGGTGCCTGGTACAGGGCAGACATTGATCAAATGCAGGTTTTCTTCCCTTTACCCAATTTCCGCATTCACCAAGCGTCCTTCTTATCTGGTGTTGTACTGAGAGGGGCTAACTCCCTGAACTGTGCTAGACCGGCATTCTGGATTATCCCGCTCTCTGCCCCATTCACAAGGTTTTCACTGAACTTGAAAACCGAGGCTCTGGATGGTTGGAATCACCAATGCCCTGTCTCTCAGAGCCCTGCCGGGGCTTGGTCAGCTGGACATTCATAGCCATTCATGCATTTGTGTCCTTTCGCATGCCCACGTGCAGCCTTGCTTGTGCACACACTCCACTCGGAGGAAG